AAGTGCTTTTTTGAAAGGGCTGGTGTTGAACCGAGATGGTATTTGGTGTTATGTGAAAGGGACATCAGAAGCTGTAATTAAATTGTCGGCTTGAACCTTCTGGTAGGATGGTTCAAAAGTTACCTGTTTCTCAGGAGCATGGCTGAGGGTCAAAGGAGTGGGACCAACATGGTTAGTTCATAGCAATATCTTGGCTCCATTCTGCTGATTCAATTCTGCACCTCCCTCCCCCCTTCCAAATTTTTATTAGGGAGTAATTTTTTTACCTGGCAAATCATTGCAACAGGAGATAGTAACTAGAAGCAAAGTCTTATTTTGAAATGACATGAAACAGACTTTCTTGGGTTTAACGCATAAGGCTTCCAGGTTTCCTTCCTGCTTGAGGTAGTTTGGAACAGTAAACAATAAGTCTTCAGGTTTTATTTTCAAAGTTACTGAGAAGGGAGGAAAAAAAAATAAATATGGCTATTTCTAGACTAGTTGGTAGGTGAAGTAAAACTACTTAGTCTAATTAGCAGCTTAAGCCTTCAATGAATAAAGCTATTGGTAATGTTTAAGGCTCAGAGAGATTTTTAAATGGAAAGGGAAATTAGTGGAGGTGAAACATTAGGAGCTGGCAAGAATGAAAGATATCACATATTTTATATAGCCCTATGAAGTAGTGAATAGGAAAGATAAGAGAGCTGCCAATTTTCACATGAAAGGATTGTGATCCGTAAGCATTTTAAAACATTTTTAAATCGACACAATTTTATTTTTAGCTGTGTGCTTATCATGTAAGTGTTTGCCAGAAGCTGTGATTTAGGAGGAGAGTCTTGCTGCAAAATTTGGAGGAAATAACAAGGAGCAAAGTAATTCTGAATCTGCTATTAATTAACAAGCTCAAGGAAACTGTAGCATAGCTAAAACTCGAGGATTAGCTGTCAAACAAATAGATTTTGTGGTGCAAAGAAAAGTTACACAAATGGTTTACTGCACTGGGACATAACATTTTCACAAGCTTTGTTTAAATGAGAAGAATTACAGGCTGCCGACAGCGAGTTAGAATTCTAGCTGGAAAAGGGAAAGAGATGGAAAAAACAGTAGCAGAACCTAGAAGGTTTGTTGACATTTAAGAAGAGTAGTAGCTGGAAGGAGGCAAGTTGCAGAAAAAGGAAGACAGTAAAGAATATAGCTGTCTTCTAGAGAATTTAGATTTGATACTAGGGATATATGAAATAAAGAATATTATAGCCTAAAATATAACTTCACTGTGATAAATGTACAAAGAAGAATAGCAGACAGGGAGTGGTACTGAGATTGCTGAATGGTTTCCACTACATGCAAGGTACCTGTTGACTGGTTAAATTTTCCCCCTGAGTTGAAGAGGGCTGACAGCATCAGAAAAGCTGACTGCAGCGACCAAACCCAAGAGTAAGTCCAATCCTGCACTTAGGGGAACTTAATTTAGAAGGAAGCTGTTTTCAGACCTGCCATTGTCCATGTGACTAAATATCATACTGTTTTTAGGAAGTTCTGGAGCCTGTGCCTGCAATAAGAGCCCATTGCAGTGAGTGTCTCAGTCTGCATTGCTCCACCTCTGGCTCTTGTTTGCCCTGTCAAAAATCTGTATAAGAACTGGAAATAGGATCCTGGTCAAGAAGGACATCAAGGATTAGGTTAGGTTTAGATCTGAAGAGGAGTAATGACAGAAGGCAGGTGAAAGCAGAAGACAGTTTGTTTCTAAATCACTAGGGTGGTGTTTGCAATGTATCGTGCACCAGGGAGGAAGTGTTAGAGAAACACTGGTTAATAGTGAAAAGCACCTGGAGGAAGGTGAACGTGACCTTGCTACGAAGATGAAGAGCAACTTGAGACAAGAGACCAGTGGCAGAGCTGGAGGCTGCAGGGGGGCATGGGGAGCTCAGGCTTCAGTCTCAGCCTTCATGTATAGATGGGGAAATTTTAATTGAACATCAAACCTACCTAATACTGGCTTATATACTTTAATCAATGCCCTTTAGAAGTCTGGAGACATTGACGAAGAGCTTTGAGATGTGCCTGTAGGTCGAAGAGACTTCTTTATCCTGATGCAAAGCTAGGAGGTCTTGATAGGGAAGAGGGAGTGAACTGTTAAGTATATATTATGGCAGAGTAACTGCAGTAAATTGTCCCTTGATTCAGGCATGGAGTGTGGCTAGTATGTGGCTAGTGGGGAGTCAGGGGCTGGTGTGCATGATTTTGAGGTGCTGATCAATTTGTGTGATATATTTAAACGCTGTTGCCTGACTTTGAGGGTTTTGAGACAGCCTTTGTGGGTTGGCTTGTGTAATCCGTTGTGCTGTGTGGTTTTGCTCTGCTGACATTCTTAATGGTTATTGGTTTTCAGTTGAAAATGAGAGCTGGAGGAATGAGCGAATCATCAAAATGGAAAAAGCAGAAGAGATCGCCAAGGCCTCCTCGCCACGTAACTAAAGTCTCTCCTGGGACAGAACAACCAGCAGCCAGTGCTAGTAACACCACAGGTAAGTTGAAATTTGTTTCCAGAGACCACTCAGCATCTGTTCTAGAGCTTTTTTGGAATCTGTCTTTATTTAATTTCTATTAACATATTGTTTTGGTTTAGATTTTTTTCTATTAGTTCTCAGTGATTATAGCAATGAAACCTACGGTAGCCTTTCAGGTCCAGGAGAAAGACTTTGAAGGAGATAAAATACATACTGATGGAGGAAAGCATGGTCCTGTGGCTAACTTGAGAGCATTCCTCTGCCTCCAGTGTCCCTTACAGGGGTAGTTTGTACAAAAGGGAATGGGGACTGAGAGAGGAGGTTGAGATTGTGGACAGTCACATGGTGGGGAGAAGTTGGAAGAGATTGAGAATAAGAACACTGACAAGAGGGGAATGGAGCTGGGGAGAAGGTTTCTTGCAACAGGAGATTAATGACTTAAGTGACATATTCTTTCCTACGTTCCTGAAGGGTGTACCAAAGGCTGTGGTGGTCGTGAGGGAAGAGCAAGGTGTGACTGGGGAAAATACACAGGTAGAACTGAGGGATGTGCAGAAACCTGGGTGTCAAGGATGGGTGAATGAACAGCTCTTTCGCTACAGATGTAAAGGCTGAAAACGTGCATTCACAGTCCATGAAATTTGAATAAAAGGCTACAGTCATTAAGGGACAGGGAAATATGGGGTGCACTGATGACAGTTATGGGAAGAATAGAGGCCTTGATGTGGAAAGAAGGCATGAAAGAAGTAGAGGGAACAGCAGAGGTAACTCAAAGGAGGTTGAGCACAGGAAACTAATGGGTATACACGAGTCCTTTTGCAGTATGTGACTAGTGCTGTGAGCTCAAGAATACAATATTTGGGGGCTTCCGTAGCCTATTTTTATATAGGAGTAGACTAAATAGTTGTAACTGTTTTTAACCTCTCCTCTGGATAAATGAGTCCCTCTGGCTGCAAAGTGCTCTGTCTCTTGTGCACTCTGCGTTTTGACGGCTCAGACATAAACATTAACAGTGAAAGGAAGCAGACTGGAAAGTAGGAAGGATGGCTGTGTGAAATACCTGCTTCTGAGGCTTATTCTGTCACAGGGAACTCTTTGGTGTGGTGTGAACAACCCCAAGGGTGTTTCTACCCAACAGCATGATTGGTGAAAACTAAGGAAATAATAAATGTGATCAAATTGCACATAACTCACAACATCCATCCAGATGAGAACTTACCTCTACAAAAATCATCATTATATTTAAGCTTTCAGATGGGTATTAAATTCTGTTGAGCAGCATTATAAATCCTGTAACATTTTAGAGAGAAAGTTAAACTGTGTTACAAAGCATGTCATTAACTCTGGCTGTGTAGTGTAAGGAAGTGTATTAATGTTGCTTTTTAGGCCAGAATCCTGATTTAGCAGGCGAGGAAGAAAATACTGCAATATTAATTGTGTATACCATTATATTTCTTAAAAATAATGTCCTGGTACTTAAGACATTTCCAAAAATCAAGTCAGAATAAAACACTGCTGTGCAAAACTATGCACGTTTCACATGTAAATCCATAACATAACTCTGGTTTGGGCCTTTATTACTGTGCCCTGCAGTACATCTTCTCTTTTTTAAATATTTGGTTTACGTTTTTTAAGTTCTCCTCAGAACCACTATAGGTGCAAGTATGTGGGTTTCTTCTAAAGGATAACTTGGATTCTTTGAGCATTGTCTCATATTCAGAAATAGTAAAAATCCTTCACTGCTCTATTTCAGACCCATTTAAATTCCTTTTGTTTAGGAAGAATTAAAGAAATAGGTCTTGCTTTCCAATCAAGTTAAAATTTTAACTTTGAAGCCCTGCAGTATATCTTCTCTTTTTTAAATATTTGGTTTACGTTTTTTAAGTTCTCCTCAGAACCACTATAGGTGCAAGTATGTGGGTTTCTTCTAAAGGATAACTTGGATTCTTTGAGCATTGTCTCATATTCAGAAATAGTAAAAATCCTTCACTGCTCTATTTCAGACCCATTTAAATTCCTTTTGCTTAGGGAGAATTAAAGAAATAGGTCTTGCCTTCCAATCAAGTTAAAATTTTAACTTTGAAGCAATTAAAAGTGAGAATAATTGAATCATTCTTTAATTGTGCCATTGTATCAAAGAGTAAAGTGTGAGAATAATTGAACCATTCTTGATAAAAGTCTTTAAATTAATTGTGCCATTGTATCAAAGAGTAAAGTACACCATTTGGGCTATTTACAGATTCCTTCTCAATTAAACCCTCTGCACCCTTTATCTAACTGAGAATTACCCTATTTGCTGAGTTTGTTAGATTCCAACTATTGTGTTTTAATTTGGAGAACTGCTAGTATCTCACCTGTTCACCTATTGAATTCATAATACTTAGCCAAAGAGAGCTTAATTTATCAGTGTTCTCTACATTAACCCATTGCTGTATGAGATCATTTGTAGTGTGAAGTAGTGATCAAAGTACAGAATAATACTAATTACTTTTTTTTGCTTCTTTTTCTCATCAGGAAGCGGAGTTACTTTCATAGATGCTCCTCCCAGCTCCTCTGGGAGCTCAGAAAATGTTTCATCTGCAGTCAGCCCTGCTACAGACAGTGGTTTGGAGTTGTCCTCACAGACTACCTCCAAGGAAGATCTGACAGACTTGGACCAGGTCACTTCTATGGGACTTAATGCAGGAACGCCTTCAAATGAGGCCAAAGTCACTGAAAACCAAAATCAGCCTGATCTCCAGGTACGTCCATATAACTTATAAAGAGAAGTTCCGACTCCCAAAATATTTGGTTGTGGGTTTAGCACACTTACTCTCTTTCTGTCTCCCTTTTTGGTCATAGGGTATATATTCTTTTCAAGGCTTAGAGTCAGAATAGAACATTCTTTGCTCTAAGTGTTACGTATATTCACAAACATTCTCTGTTTTCTCTTGAGACCATCCCCATTGGCTGAGAAATGACAACTGTGGAGCCCAACAGTGCACTTAGTAGCTAATTGTACTCCTGCCAATAACATTAACCTTAATTAAAGGAGGAACTGTTAGAGGGAAATCTGCGGAAATCATTTTATTGTCTTTAGTGAACAATTTTTCTTGAATTTGTAGAAATTCAGCTGTTGGTGTTTGTGTACGTGCATTGCTGTTGCTGGGAAATCTGACAAACCCAAACCAAGGCTTTTGTCAGGAAGTTTTCCTTTGTGTTGCCTCCACTTCCTCTGCAACAGTAATACTGTTGAGAGGGTGGATTAGAGCTTCAGGGAACCTTTCAGAGCTGCAGAGATTTTGAATTGTAAAAATGCTAAAAGGGCATAGATAGAAACAGTGTGCTGGAATTATGTAGCATTTAAAACCAAAAAATGAGCCAAATCCTAACCTCAGGGGCAGTAAGAAGCTGATAGGTTATAGAGTATCCTCAAAGTCAAGTCCTTAGTCTTGCAACCTAGAGTTATGTAAAATAGACAACAACTAGATAGAAGGGAAAGAGCAGAGAGGGCCACAGATTATCTAGAGGTGCTCTTTTCTCATAAATTTTGTTTTCCTGCTCCTCTTCCATGAGTGACCTGTGTAGTTTTAACAGTTCTGAATGAACCATGAGCAAATAAGCCGTTCTTTTAGCTTGTCTAGTGCTTGTTAACTCCTGTTTTGTTTCTTTCATTCTCAAATGACTGCAATCAATGAAGAATGAAAGTTTGAGGGAGGAGAAGATCCAGTCAGCTTCTGTTGAGTCTATCCCTGAGGTCCTAGAGGAGTGCACATCCGTAGCAGAACATTCTGACTCTGCCTCTGTTCATGACATGGACTATGTAAATCCTCGAGGAGTACGTTTTACTCAGTCTTCCCAAAAAGAAGGTGAGAGGCGGGCAATGTTGCTAAAGTCCTTTCTCCTCCCCACTATTCTGCTTCGCTTTCTGCTAAGAAGGTGCTAAGCTCCTGTTCCTCAGCGGGTCTGTAACAATTCAGTTTGTAATACTTGTTGGGCACCTGCAAAAAGCAAAGTTAAGAGTGCTAATTTCTCTTTTTCCTTTAGGAGCAGCACTGGTCCCCTATGGGCTACCGTGTATTAGAGAACTGTTCCGCTTTCTGATCTCCCTCACCAACCCTCACGACCGCCACAACTCTGAGGTGATGATCCACATGGGGCTGCAGCTTCTCACTGTTGCCCTGGAGTCAGCGCCCATCGCCAACTGCCAGTCCCTCCTGGGGCTGGTGAAGGAAGAGTTGTGCCGGCATCTATTTCAAGTGAGTCTGGCTGATGCTAGCGTGGCATGTGGCACTGGGGAGTCTGATGCTAATTTGCATCAAAGAGTCTATTGGAATTTAGTATTCTGAGGTCTGGCGTGTCTCAGTTTTCAATTGAGAAGTCTCATTTCAATGCAGCAGAGAGCTTTGGAATTGCACCAGCGAAGCAGCGCTGTTGCAAAGCCAGAAAGTCTGTCGTGTGCTATTTTCTTCAGAATGAAGGTGATTTGAATGAACTGCTACTGTGGGATAACGTTGTGTTTTGACATAATTGATTTTTGAGGTAATTATGGATGCAAGTTACCAGCTTAGTAGTAGGCAGAACCATCTCAGAGGGAGGTCTTCTCCCAAGTTCCTTCTCTACTAACAGGATCTGTGGACTTGGCAAAAGAACAATTTTTTTTTAGGAAAAGTGTTACCAGAAGCAGAAGGGAATTCAGTCTATTTGTCCTCGCTAGCAAAAAGTGAGACCATGAGGTTGAATAAGGGATTGGTTTTTGAAATACCTTGCTATGGGAGGCAATGTGTGGGTCCAGGCTGTTGCAGGTCATGCCTGCAGTGCCACAGCACTGCTATTTATAGCACATAATAACTAGCCTTTGTAATTCTTTTGTTTGTTTGTTTGTTTCTTGTTCAGCTGCTGAGTGTTGAACGGCTCAATCTGTATGCAACCTCCCTCAGGGTGTGCTTTCTTCTCTTTGAGAGCATGAGAGAGCATCTGAAATTCCAGCTGGAGGTGAGTTTTTTGAGTATCACTGGGTGCCTAGTAATAGTTTGTTGGTCTTCAGTTAAATACATATAGCTAGGCAGTAAGATACAGCCTAAAGATCCCTTTACCTTTGTATAAATGACCCTGTGGGTTATGAGTAGGCTGTGTAGGGCTTTTCTTGTTGGATAATAAAATGTCTTTGAGACTGGTGCACTGCCTTCATATTGGTTTTTTTAGAAAGGTGAATCCAGGTACATTGAATGGTAGAACTACTTGAAACCTTTTTACAACCTCCTTCAGAACGAGCCATCGTTACAGATGGAGTGTCCTGTGGGGAAATGAAGCTTGAATCTATTTCTGTAGCCCTCAAAGCTATTCACTGTCCTGCTTTCTTTTTTTCTTTCCTTAAACTGAGCTGCCCTGTGTTTCTGCCAGATGTACATCAAGAAGCTGATGGAAATCATCACTGTGGAAAACCCCAAGATGCCCTACGAAATGAAGGAGATGGCTTTGGAGGCCATCGTCCAGCTGTGGAGGATCCCCAGCTTCGTGACCGAGCTCTACATCAACTACGACTGCGACTACTACTGCGCCAACCTCTTCGAGGAGCTCACCAAGCTGCTCTCCAAGGTGCTGAACCGCCAACCGCCGCGGGAGGGAGGGAGGGAGGAAGAGGAGGAGGCGGCACTGGGGATGAACGGCATGGCAGTAACTCAGAACAAGGGTTCTTAAGAATGGGAGTGGCCAACAGACTCAGGGTGAGGAATATCTAGAGATGAGGGTGGCCATTGAACGTTTGGAAGCAGAAAAGAATAGCCATGATGCTGGATGGGGCTTTGAGCATCCTGATCTGGTGGGAGGTGTCCCTGCCCAGGGCAGGGGGGTGGATCTTAATGATCTTTAAGGTCGCTTCTAACCCAAACCATTCTATGATTCTATGCTTTAATAACATCAGAGCCCATAAACCATTAAGTGTGTGCTGGGAAAGCTTTGGGTGAAAAGTTTAGGGTGTTCTGTTGTGTGCTGTAGGCTTCCCCAAGCTGTGAGGGGAAACTTCCTTCCCCCGTTACGGTAAGAGAGGCATGAAAGTTGACTAATGCTTATATTTTATTTCCCAGAATGCCTTTCCAGTTTCTGGACAGCTGTATACTGTCCACCTGCTGTCTCTGGAAGCGTTGCTGACAGTGATAGATAGCACTGAGGCACATTGCCAGGCCAAAGTGCTGAGTAACATACATCAACAAGAAAAGGAAGCTGTCAAATCCAGCCCAGAAACCATGAACAGCACCAAAGAAACAAGCAATAGTAAGACCCCTTTCTTTGATATTTTGATATTAAGCTTAGTCTTGTGCTAATCTTGCCGATCTCATTTTGGTAGCTGACATAGTAAGCTCCTTAAATATATGCTTTCAGTCTTGCTGTTGCATGTTTTATAGCTACACACTGATGTTAATAACCGTGCTATTTGTAAAATTTACAGATATTAAAATGTGCCCCTTATCTGAAGCTTTATATAAAGGCCATGTCAAGACTGGCAGTCACAACAGAAAGAGCATATCCCATGGAATTCATGTAGACAAAATACTGAGGATACTGAGGAATCACAGTTACCGAGGGGGAACTCCTTTAAATAAGCACATATTCAGTTTAGAGTGATCAGTTCATTATTTCTCGCTTGCTGTTTTTTTCCTTGGCTCTACGGTTTTGTTTACGTGTGGGGATACTTTTTTTTTACTTTTTTTTTTTTTTTTTAATTTCTACAGATAATGAGAGAGTGCTCAGTGAGGGAAAATCTTCCACTGCAGTCTCAGAGCCAGCTGGGGCATGTCCTCCCACCAGTGGGTGCCTTATGGCTGACCAGATGAAGGAAAGCTGCATGGAACTGGAAGGAGGAAGCGAGGCAGGTAATAGAGTCTGCAGTACCCTGAATTTCTGTATGTGTATGTGTGTATATATATATATATTTTATATATATATATATATATATGCTGAGAATGGTCCTGACATTTGCTGACTGGCCCTGCTATAGACCACTGTAGCTCATGTGTGTTCGAAATCAGAAGGAAATGTGTGGTGAATGTTTGTTTGTTATAGGTGTGCTATATATGCCTCCTAGCTGTTGCATTTCTTCTGGGAGGGGATTAGGTCTTGTGGGTCACTTTGGGGCAAAAGTGTGTGAAATTCCTACAAGTGCTTAGTATTTTTAAGGAAGTCAGAGGTTCTCCAGGGGATCAGTAATGTAGGTAGTCAAAATAGCCAGCAAATGAAATCTTGTGGATGTGTGACGTTGCCCAGGACAAGAAGCAGCTGTGAGTTATGCTGAAGAAAATGTGGGTGGGAGGAATGTAAAATTGAATAGCTGGAGAATGACTGCCATTTGCAGGGCAGGACATTGCAGCAAGACTCCATGACTGAAAGTTAGGATGGGACACTGTGGTGGGGTGAGTGCTGCTCTGGGGATAGGTTTGACTGTAATGATGCTTTTCCTTCCAGCTGAGAAGAGCATCCCCAGGAAGCCTACTCGGTTTTCTTGTATCCTTCCAAGCCCTCAGGAACTTATGCAGATTAAGAACAAAAAGAAGGTATGATTTAGAATATACTACAAATAGAGCTTTGAGTGTTCTCTTTGTTTCCCATCCCATGTGGGCCTTGCATGACTGGTGATGTCTCAGAAATTTTGAGTTCTGGTCTCAGCTGGTAGGAGAGTTGGTCACTGAAAATCCCGCTACACTGCAGAGAGAGCAGTGATTATTATCTGTTCTGGTTTAGCTGTGCTAAAAGTTGCAAGAGGTGTTGTGGAAATTTTGTGGCACAATTTGTAACCTAGGTGTATCTGATTTCTGGGTGAGAAGGTTGCTGCACTGAGTTTGCATTATTTGGAGATCAGAAAGGGCAGTTTCCCTCCTCTTACCAAAGCTGTAAATGGGGCGCGTACCAAGAGGTCTGGAGTAGAAATTAATAAGCTGGGCTGCTGTTCTGATTTGTTTATTCCCATGTTTGCTTTATCAAGACAAGATTGTCTTGATTTTGGCAAAGCCATTCTTTGCCTAGGTGTTTCTTTCTTTGAATCTCATTAATTCAAGTTATAGTGTAAACTTTGTATGGCTTTTCCATTCCCGAAGTGGTTCCAGTCTAGGTCTAGTATTGACAAAGGTGCTCCATGCTGATGGCTTTTATTTTTCTGCTGTGTTGTGTCAAGCATCAAATACTGGGCTGCTTGTTCACCTGCAGAGACAGCAGGTGAATATGATATCTAAAGTCCCTATAGGTTACATGAGACTGTTTTTTTGTTTGAGTTTTTTGGGTTTTTTTTCATCCCCAGATGTTCTCTTTGCACAACATAGTTAGGTTATTTAGAAAATGAGAGATTACTAAATTTCAATGTGAAAATGGCATTTGCTGGATGAAACATGAGTGGGTGTAGTAGTTGTGGAGTAAGAAGCCAGGTGATATAGTGGAAAAAGAAATCAACGTCTTTGGACGATTCATTGATGGTAAAGCAAAGATTTTTGATTTGTGCCTGACTAAAAGGCATAGGTGGTTTTATTTGGCATTATTGTGAGGGAGTGGTGGTCATATTTGTTTAAACTTAATTAAACAAAAATACAGAAGAAATTACAACAGATCTGTTTCTACTGCTGTACTAATCCATGCCTTGTGATCTGCTCTGGCAGTCTCTGGATCTGCATAAGAAAGTACAACAGATCTGTTTCTCCTGCTGTACTAATCCTTGCTTTGTGATCTGCTCTGGCAGTCTCTGGATCTGAATGTCATCTAAGGCACTGGTTTCTCTCTAGGAAATCTGCTGCAGGACTTAGGAACTTGGTTCTTTACCTACAACACAGAGCTGCAGGGGGATAATGCTGCCTGGCTTCCCGAGCCACAGGGACAGTGGGAGGAAGTGATTGTCAGCACAGTCTTCAAAGCAACCACCACGTTTTGGCATTAGCTAATTTTTAAGAAATTAGGATTGGTTTAGTTATTGTTTCATTTGTAACCCTTTGCTTTGCATTAAATATAATTTCATGGCAGCTTTGCTGATGGACTTTATGTGAAAGTCTGTTGTTGAGAAAGGTGATTGGATAGTGCTTCCACTGTTCTCACTGAAAACCTCTGATAATACTCCAGCTTTACTGTGCTGGAAAACAAGGTTAGAAGAAATCAAGAGCATTGCCAGTGGGTTCCTTAAAGAAAGTTTCAGGTGATCCTCGAAAAAGGGCAGTGCCTTATTTGCTACAGCAGAAGCCAGAAAGATGTTCATAAATCTCTATTAGTTTGCTCAGGGAAAATCCTTTCCTGACTCTAAATCTGGGAATGGTTTCATCCTGAGCATATAAACAGGCCACACAAAACATTCATCTTAAGTAATGTTGGTGCTGACGTGGCACCAGTATGTTCTGCTTCCTCTAACCCATGATGCACTAAACATTACCACAGCTGGAAGGAGGAAAAAAGCTAAATAAAAGCAGAAAACAAATTATGCTTCAAATGGAAAGTTTTCTTTGTTTCCAAAGGCAACGACCAGAAGCTCAAAAGCACAGGACTGATGTGATTATAAACACAGTGCAAACTGCCAGTGGTCTGGTCTGCTTTCGGGGGGTCTGAGGAGGTATAACCAGTCCATAGGATACCCTAGGGCTTGGGTTACAGGATTTGCAGCTGAGCTGAAATGCTGCCAGGGCCATAGAGTCCCTTCAGGCACATGCTTATTATTTTGTTATGCCCTCACCAGGTCCTTGGGCGCTCCGTGCTATCCCAGGGTCTGTGTTTCATTGCAAATTGAAGATGTTCAGGCAGGCAGGGGGAGCAGAGAACAGAGAGGTGATTATAAACACAGTGCAAACTGCCAGTGGTCTGGTCTGCTTTCGGGGGGTCTGAGGAGGTATAACCAGTCCATAGGATACCCTAGGGCTTGGGTTACAGGATTTGCAGCTGAGCTGAAATGCTGCCAGGGCCATAGAGTCCCTTCAGGCACATGCTTATTATTTTGTTATGCCCTCACCAGGTCCTTGGGCGCTCCGTGCTATCCCAGGGTCTGTGTTTCATTGCAAATTGAAGATGTTCAGGCAGGCAGGGGGAGCAGAGAACAGAGAGAGGGCTGGTGGCTCCTGAGGTACCGAGAAACCCAGGGGAGCTAGTCATCATGACGGTCACGAATTTAGTTCACTAGGTCATCGCTGGCAGTTGGATCGTGATAGGAGCTAACAGGGAACTGACATTTATTCTGGTGCCTTAGTAAAGTTCATACGGTTGTTTGTGCTTTTGGTTTTTTTTTTTTGAACACCACCAAGAACATTCAGTTAACCCTTCCTTAGTCGGGTGTTCTGTGACACTGTGACTGCGGTGCCATCTGGTTTTCTCAAATAAGAATCAAGCAGGACAGTAGTAGGAAACCCAGGGGAGCTAGTCATCATGACGGTCACGAATTTAGTTCACTAGGTCATCGCTGGCAGTTGGATCGTGATAGGAGCTAACAGGGAACTGACATTTATTCTGGTGCCTTAGTAAAGTTCATACGGTTGTTTGTGCTTTTGGTTTTTTTTTTTTGAACACCACCAAGAACATTCAGTTAACCCTTCCTTAGTCGGGTGTTCTGTGACACTGTGACTGCGGTGCCATCTGGTTTTCTCAAATAAGAATCAAGCAGGACAGTAGTAGTTGACTTGCCTTCAAAACCAAAAAGGCACCTGCTCTTCCCAGCCTACAGATAGCCTTGTCATGCTGGGATGTCCGTTGTTCCTGGGACCATGTCTCACTAGCAGGATGTTTTCTGATTCTTAGTTTAAGCTTTCTTCCTTGTGCCTGCTGAGTAAGTGCTGAGGATTCTCACTGTGTGTCCTCTGGTGGTGAGGTAGAGTACAAGAGCCTGGAGCCAAAGGGGATGAGAGGGCATGGAACAGTGCTGCTGTTGTAATTGGGTAGAGGTGATCTTACCACCTTGTTCATCAGAGACCTTCCTCTGCTCTGTTTGCGTACTAGATCGGGTCAGGTATTTGAGATAGCAGAGCTAATTGCTCAGTGAAATATCAAAGCTTTTCAAAGACGGCAGCTCGTGATTGCTCTGTATCCTTTGTTCCTGGGACCATGTCTCACTAGCAGAATGTTTTCTGGTTCTTAGTTTAAGCTTTTGCAGCACTTCTTCCTTGCGCCTGCTAAGTGCTGAGGATTCTCACTGTGTGTCTGCTGGTGGTGAGATAGAGTACAAGAGCCTAGAGCCAAAGGGGATGAGAGGGCATGGGACAGTGCTGCTGTTGTAACTGGGTAGAGGTGATCTTGCCACCTTGTTCATCAGAGACCTTCCTCTGCTCTGTTTGCGTACTAGATCGGGTCAGGTATTTGAGATAGCAGAGCTAATTGCTCAGTGAAATATCAAAGCTTTTCAAAGACGGCAGCTCGTGATTGCTCTGTCCAGTATTATTTCACAGAGTCACAGGATGATGTGGGGTTGGAAGGGACCTCTGGAGATCATCTCATCCAACCCCCCATTTGATAGTGAATCCTTGTGATGAATGCAGGTTTTCTGGCCTTGGTTAGCCTTCTTGCTGGGTCACGCAGCCCAATAAATTTGGTCGTGCTGAGGTTGATCTATTTTCTACTTCGCTTGTGGTTCAAATGCTAAGAAAAGCTAAAGGAAGAAATGCACTTCAAGTTTGTAATTATCAGAATGTCTCCTTCAGCTCCTGATAACCGGCACAGAGCAGTTCAACCAAAAGCCAAAGAAAGGGATCCAGTTTCTGCAGGAGAAGAACCTTCTTGCCACCCCCATCGACAACAATGAGGTGGCCAGGTGGCTACGGGAAAATCCTCGCCTGGACAAGAAGATGATTGGGGAATTCGTGAGCGACCGTAAGAACATAGACTTGCTGGAAAGCTTTGTAGGGTGAGTATCTTTCTGGATCTCTTTAACCCAAAAGAGGTGAAAGTTAAGTGTTCAGTGATAAAAAAAGCAGTAGAATAGTAGCTCCTGGAGGCATTGGGTTTGTATCGCTTGGTTCTCTCTGTACCAACATGCATCTCTTGCATAGGGTAACACCTTAGATATAAATAGTAGTGTGATACTCGAGCTCTTTTCAGTGGGACCAGTCTCTGAAGACTGGAGAGTTTATTACCTACATAATCACCTGTAGGATTGGTGACACTTACTGTTTTTTGCCTGTTCATGGTATATTTCTTCTCACCCCTCTCTTTACTGTCTGTTCTCTGTGCAATCTGGTGTTCTGATACTGAAACAAACAAGATTGTCATCTTATTGTTTTTTAGCCTGTTCATGGTATATTTCTTCTCACCCCTCTCTTTACTGTCTGTTCTCTGTGCAATCTGGTGTTCTGATACTGAAACAAACAAGATTGTCATCAGTAAGTTTATCCATCTTTCCCATCCCCTTTCAATTTCTCACTACATTTCATTCTCCTTGCAGGACTTTCAGCTTCCAGGGTTTAAGGTTGGATGAAGCTTTACGACTTTATCTAGAAGCCTTCAGGTTACCGGGAGAGGCACCCGTAATCCAGAGGCTGTTGGAAGCCTTCACAGAACATTGGAGGGTGTGTACTTGGTGGGCACAAAGCTCAAAACTGAGTTCTTTCTTGTGTTTGTGCCACGATGGACGTGTCATTTCAAACAGCCTTTATAAGCTCGCTGTGCCCTGCAGGCAGCAGCTGTTGTTTTGTAGGAGATGGCAGTGGCACATAGATTTCTGGGGTGCTTTTTGGAAGCTTTTTTGGAGCCTGGGTTTTTTTGTTTGTCCCAGAGATGATTCAGTACCGTGGGCAGGAAAAGGGCTGTCTTGGGTCACTGATACTGCTATTCCTGTAGGACTGATTTCTGCCTACTTTTGCCTTTCAGAAATCAAACGGGTCCCCATTTGCTAACAGTGATGCCTGCTTTGCCCTGGCCTATGCAGTAATTATGCTCAACACTGACCAGCACAACCATAACGTCCGCAAGCAGAACGTCCCAATGACTCTGGAGGTGGGTGTTACCAGTTCATCAAAGAGGCTTGTGTGTGTGTGTGAGCAAACTGCATCCTAAGACATAGTAAGAATGAGAAGATTCTTAAACTGCTGTGGGCTTCTAGAGAGTTCACGTTGTGTGAGCATCAGTGCAGTGGTACAGACTTGTCATTCTGATGTCCAGCTGCAGCTTTCCATGTGTTGTGTTGTGTCTCTGCTCTTCTGAGCAGGGTCAGGGGTTGCTGCACACTACTGCCACTAATGATAGCATTTAGTCTTTGGATTTTGAGGCTGTATTGCACGCTGCTGCCACTAATAAAAGCATTTAGTCTTTGGATTTTGAGGCTGTATGTTGAAGAACACAGGAAAATCTCCTTCTGGTCCCATGAAACACAAGTGGAGTACTGATCGTAGGCAAGAAGCTAAAGCTGGAGATGTTAGGAACTAACGTTGGTGTAACTTTTTTCAGGAGTTTCGGAAGAATTAAAGCTGGAGATATTAGGTACTAACGGTGTAACTTTTTTCAGGAGTTTCGGAAGAACCTGAAAGGTGTGAATGGAGGCAAAGACTTTGAACAGGACATACTGGAAGACATGTACCACGCCATCAAGTAAGAATCAACCTGTCGTCTCCTTGTATGCAGAGAGCAAACGAGAGTTGTTTGGTCTGTGAGACCTCTGGAGAGTACCTAAAGAAACTCACTGATTGTGTGCCTGTTTGCCTCAGACCAACTTCCAGCTCCCTGTGGGGCTGTGGTAACCAGCCTGCCACAGTGATTGCTCTGGATTTGTACCTTTGGATTCTTGCCACGGTATTTTAATCCACAGAGCTTAAGCTAAAAGTTAAAAAATACATTACTTCTGTCAACATGCAAAAGAATGGCTGAACAAGACCAGCACACGTGACACGCTGTATCTAAGAAGGCTCTGTTCTCCAGACCAGGCCTTTAGAGTTCTTTAGAACATTTTTTGTGCTAGAGATAGTATCTCATCCCCAGGACAGGATCGGTGCCCTGACATAACATGTCCAGCTCTGTTACTTGTGTTCAACTTTTGAGCTCTTCATATGAGGCTGTGCCAATCTCTTTTGCCACCCCTGAAGCTCTTGGCACACTGAGCAGTATCTGAAGAGAATTCCTTGTGGCTGAGGCCCTTTTGGGCACAGACTAGCTCTGGGCGAGGAGCTTTAGCTCAGAAATGCAGCCTACCAGGAAATCCCAGGAAATTGGCCCAGCCGATTTGAAGCAGAGAGGATTATATCTCTGAGGAGACAGGATGTGACCCTGACTCCCAGCTGGTTTCATTCTGCACTGGCAGACAGTGACAAGCCAAGGCAGTGTGATTAGGCTGTCCCTCCCTTTTGGGCCTTCTCCAGGAAGGTGGGGATGCTGCCTGTACTAATTATCTAGAAATTCTTCTAGAGGTAGCTGTAGCTTTCAAATAGAGCTCTAGTTTTGATTGGTCTCTCTCTGTGAGGGTGTTCTTAATGTTTGTAGTAGTGCCCTGAGAGTATCCTCACATCTTCCAATTATCCACTGCCTCTGTCCCAGTCTATTCCCCTTTAGCCTTCCTTCACCAGATACTGTGATTCAGCTTTTTCAGTATGTTCTGTGGCTATAAAGATTGGAGTATCATTTCAGGAGTGCTCCATCTCAGTCAGATTGCCCTGGTGTCATAGTTAAGATTGAGGAACTATTTACTTTCTTCATATTATTGGGGAGGAGAAGGAAATCAGACTGTAATCTGTACAGAGTAGTGCATGATCTCTTCAGGATCTCAGCATTTCATTTCCTGAGACTTCTCAAGTAAACCCATTCACTTGCTTCTATTAATATTAATCAAATATGAGTTCTTAGGAAAAAAAAACCACTATTGACTGCAAACATATTTTCCTCTACAATCTCAGCAATGATTGCTCTTGTCAAATTCTGTGGACACCTGAAACTGAGAGGAGGTTATTTCTTATGCATAAATCAAGAGCAATTCTTTTATAGTTGTTGTTAGCACATGAAAATTGCTGCTTTGGCAACGGAAACACGTTATTTTCTGATTGTTGCAGAAAGAGCTCTGCTTTTCAGATTGGCTGCAATCTACTCTTCTTAGTAAACCTGAGACTCTTGTTCAATTAGCTGGTGATTTGCAGAGGGTTACCTCTTGTGCAGGAGTACCCAAGTCTATGGAGTGTGTATTTAGGCTTGTTATATTTTAACCTGGGATTGCAAGTACTACTTGACATTAATTATATTGTTATATTATCATATAGCTTTAATCCAGTTAGAGTAAGGAGCTGTGGTACCCTGGCTATGAATCACACATTATACGTTTGGTTTCTTGCTTTGTCTTTAATTTTGTTTTACTTGGCATTCTGATACTTGATTTTGGCACAATATGAATATTTGCATTATTCTTACACAAAGGTGCTCACAGCTACCATTGACTGCAGTGGTATAAAAATTTAATTATTTTTTGTTTTTAATCTGGGAGTAATGAGATATGCAGAGCACTCTAGTGGGGTGAGAATTGGGATGATGAAGCTATGCCAGTGGGCTGTCCAAAATTTCCCATCATTTAACTGCAGTATATGTTGTGTTTTGCACTTATAGTGTTAGGTAGCTGCTTCTTCAATACTTCCCTTGCGCAGTTGCTGCTGGTTGCTGCTGAGAGCTGCCAGATTTATATCCAGAACAGCAAAGACTGGGGGGGAAGCAGGCAGGCCTAGGAAAATAGAATGTTTCAGGAGCTGGCAAAAATCACTCCAGAGTTAGGTATTGCTCAGCTTTGGGACCATGTAATGAAAGGCACTGTGTAAATGTTAGGTTTGGCTCAGAATGAAAAATTCAACCTTTCTGCCTTCCTCCCTTGTAGAAATGATGAGATAGTGATGCCAGAAGAACAGACGGGCCTGGTGAAGGAAAACTATATCTGGAATGTCCTGCTGCATCGTGGTGCCACTGATGAGGGAATATTTCTCCATGTGCCTCCTGGAAGCTATGACCATGATCTCTTCACCATGACGTGGGGGCCAACTATTGCAGCACTTTCTTATGTTTTTGATAAGAGCTTAGAAGAAACAATCATCCAGAAGGCTATCTCTGGTTTCAGGTAACTCTTGCGTTCATGAAGACCCGGGAGAGTTGAAGTGTGGCCATTTTCTCCTCTTTACCTGCCAGAGACATCACAGTGAATATCAACTATGACTTTTCCTAGCAATTGAAGAGCATTTTATTGTGACCTTGGGTGCTCTAGTTTTGTTCTGTCATTTGCATTGATGCATCCCATGGTTGTTACTGCTCACTGCTGGGCTTGACTGCTATGTTGTAATAAATCAAGGTGCCTTTAGTATGTGTTTTTAAACTCCAACCTGGTTACATTTAAAAGAGCTGCTGACGTAGCTGCGCTGCTTAGAAGTGTGTGGAAGAAGTCACTCAACTTGCACAGTGATGCTGGCAAATTCCCTGTGTATGAACAAAACCTCTGACGTGTATGAGGCTGTATCTGTGGCTGAATGTGATGGGGGCTATTTTTTTTCCTTTTTTTTCTTTTCTAGATGGCCAGTATTCAAAAAACTTGCTATCTGTGAGAAACTGTATTGGAACAATCTTTAGTCATGTTGAAATTCAGACCAAAAGATTCATCCCATCTTTGTTGCTGCTCACTGCTGGGCTTGACTGCTATGTTGTAATAAATCAAGGTGCCTTTAGTATGTGTTTTTAAACTCCAACCTGGTTACATTTAAAAGAGCTGCTGACGTAGCTGTGCTGCTTAGAAGTGTGTGGAAGAAGTCATTCAACTTGCACAGTGATGCTGGCAAATTCCCTGTGTATGAACAAAACCTCTGACGTGTATGAGGCTGTATCTGTGGCTGAATGTGATGGGGGCTATTTTTTTTCCTTTTTTTTCTTTTCTAGATGGCCAGTATTCAAAAAACTTGCTATCTGTGAGAAACTGTATTGGAACAATCTTTAGTCATGTTGAAATTCAGACCAAAAGATGCCTTAAGCATAGTTTTAAAACTCTGTTAATATACTGCTGTAACCATGAACTCTTGGAAACTGGACCTTCAATGGTACCACCAATCTCAGCAACTCTCTGATGTCAAGACAGGAGATTAGGTTTATTGGCTCGGGTGCAAGTGGTTGGTATATTTAGACTCACTTCTTGAATGCAATCCTTGCATCAGCACAGGCAAATATAAGGTCTATGGATGAGGATTGAGATTGAGGGATAATAGTGGACTTCTATACATCAGCATTCACAATGAGTGGGTGGAGGTTTAAAATGCCAACAGAGAGGCTCTCTGATTTGCTGCCCCGTAGACAGATTTGTCTATGCTGACTTAATACGTTTATTTTCTGTTTTCTTCTTTCCCCAGGAAATGTGCAATGATTTCTGCTCACTATGGCCTTAGTGATGTGTTTGACAATCTCATCATTTCTCTTTGCAAGTTTACAGCCCTCAGCAGCGAGGTGAGTTTGCAAGGGGGGAAAAGAAGCATGGCTTTTAGTATATCAGAGCTCTCTTCCTCTGTTAAGCAGTAATATTTGCTTATTTTCATTATCACAGTATCTGTAGATATCTATCAGCCTTGTCTGCCCAGAGTTTTCTGGAGGAGAAGAGAGAGTAGTGAAGTAGAACTTCCACAGGACAGGTTTAAATACACAGATCTCCTTTGGCTCACTCACAAGTGGCAGTTTTTTGCAGAGCAGAATGAATGCTGTGATGTAGAAGGGTTTATTCCACCTACTTGAAAGCAGTGATGTAGAAGGGTTTCTTTCATCTACTCGATCTGAGGAGACTTAGATCTCCTTGTGATCAAGACAGTGATCATCCAATGTTCCCGAGCAAGTTTATGCATTTCAGCTGTTGAATATTTAGTTTATAGGGCTTATGTGGTGCCAAGAGGGACTGTTTTGTGAGCTGTTCTTCCAGGGTGTAAGGAGCTGTGCATCCAGCCACCAGTAAAGGGGTTAGAAAACCAAATTAATTATTGGTTGGTGTGTGGAGTCTGGTAATAAGATCGACTGTTGAGTCTGCGTAAAGGGGTTAGAAAACCAAATTATTTATGGGTTGGTGTGTGGGGTCTGGTAATAAGATCGACTGTTGAGTCTGCTTTTGGCAAGCCCTAAAGACTGTTTCCATGTGTTGTACTGTGAGAATAAAGTCAAGTTGGTTGACCACCACCAACAGTTTTTTTCCCAAATCTGTGTGTTAGAGCATCAGCCTGATTTTCCCCAAGGTGTTTGGTAGTGTGACCATGCTTTGTGCTAAGGAGAAGACATCAGCAACTCCTTTAAAGGGTCAGAACTCAACAAAGAATCTCACAGCTTTGTTCCTAGAACCAGTGCAAGACCCACAGGGAGCAAAATAGAATTGCCACACATTAAAAAAAAAGGAAATGAGTTCATTCAAGGCTGAAAGCATGGGAGTAAAAAGGCCAACATGGTTGATTTTTTTAAAACTCTTGGAGGGATATCAGAAAGGAAACGAGTCCTGCAAATTAATCCAGTGAATGGAATTGGGCTGCAGGGGAAATGGAATTTTTTGGACTGGATGTTTTGTATCACTTGGATTCTGGCATTGGTAGAACCAGGTTGACTGTTAAAAGACAGACCCCAACCCAGAGGTGTTGCTTTAGATTCCCTCTTCCTCCACAGCTCCACATCAGTAAAGATGATCCTCTCCAGGCACACCAGACCTCAAGGCTACCAATAGATAACACAAGCAGAGGAATGTCTGCCATGAAACAACTGTTTGACACAGATTTACGCAGTAGAAGCAACTAGACTAAGCCCTCAGAGGCACCAGTTATTGCCAGCTGCATCCCATCTAGTTGTGAGACTGGAATCTGGAGCAGTCTGAGGTCTCTGTAAATTAAGCAAGCATGTCTTTTTGGTGATGACATAGAATCAGGGACTTCTGGATTTGGAGAAAGCTGTGAGTTCTTATCTTTGGCCAGATTCCAAGTACACCAATTACTTTCTGCTGTCCTAAATTCCTGTAAGGCTTGGAGACAGTAGTGGAATATGACAACTGAACAAATATTTGAGAGACAGTCTGGTGGAAGGGGAGAAGGAGGGGCTGTCTTCAGGGGCTGAGGAGACCAGACAAAAAGCAGCCGTTAGAAAGCAAGGGAAGAACATCAAAGTGTCACTTAACTGCTAGTTACTTCCTGGGGCAGATCATTCTGGTGATGAGGCATCCTCTCCAAGCACTGCAATTGCTACGTACAGTCAGTTTGGTTGAAAGAAGAGGAATGGAAAGGAACATGGATGGAGATGAAGAGATCTAAGAAGGAATGGAGCACCTTTCTATGAGGAGAGGCTGAGAGAGCTGGGGTTGTTCAGCCTGGAGAAGAGGATGCTCTGGGGAGACCTTATAGCAGCCTTCCAGTCCCTAAAGGGGGCTGCAGGAGAGATGGGGAGGGACTCTTCATCAGGGACTGGAGCCATAGGATGAGGGGTAATGGCTTTAAACTGAAAGACCGGAGATTTAGATCAGATCTCAGGCGGAAAATCTTTCCTGTGAGGGTGGTGAACAGGTTGCCCAGAGAAGCTGTGGCTGCCCCATCCCTGGAGGGGTTCAAGGCCGGGCTGGATGGGGCTTGGAGCAACCTGGTCTGGTGGGAGGTGTCCCTGCCCAGGGCAGGGGGTTGGAACTCGATGATCTTGAAGGTCCTTTCCAACCTGAACCATTCTGTGATTCTAGGAGCGAGTGCCCCACTTCTTGATGCACAGTGAAGACTCACACTGACTCAGTGTATAAGTGGCAGCAAAACCCCTGTGTGATTTAATTTGGTGGTTGTGGCTTGTTACCACAGTGCAAAACCAGGCGTGTTGCTGTTTGTGCTCTGAGACCTGAGTGATGGATGTGTTCATGTGGTTTCCCCATAGCAACAATGAAAAAACCAAATTGGTTGTCACATTTCTGCCAGATTTCTAGAGTGGCAGTTCCGGTGGAGTTCACCTCTAGATCAAAGACACGTTTTGATAATGGTTTTGCCAACAGTCTGGCTGAAGGAAAAGCTAGTTTTTCTGAACTTCAGAGATTGGAAGAGCCACATTTTCAATCCATCCTATCTCCTGTCATCTCTCTTCTTTCTTCATGAAGCAATAAGTAGGGGTTTTGTCCCCGTAAGCAAGAGAAAGGCAAAGCTCAACTCTTGTCAAAGGGAACGTTGCAATGAGTTGAAGTAACTACAGAAACATGGAGCTTGTTGTAGTGTCTGGTACTAGCTCACACGGTTGAGGTTCTTTTCTTGTTTTGGCAGCATATGCTTGGTTGGTTTCAATGACTTATTGGTTGAGGTTCAAGCATATGCTTGGTTGGTTTCAATGACTTATCACCCTTTTTGTATTTTGAAAAGCTGTGAGTGTGTTGAACAGATTATGAGGAATTGTGATCCAGCAATTATTGGCAGAGACTGTAAATCAGGATTCATCCCTCTTTGAGGCTTGCTGTTAAGCAGTGCTAAGAGTAGCTTTGCAAGTCAGTGATGCTTTTGGCCGTAGTTTCCTTCTCTAACAGTAGAGTGGGAGTAATTGCTGCTTCTAGAGGAGACGTGGTACTTTTTTGGAGAAGGCTTTGATCCCGGAATGAGTTCCCAGAGCAGAATAAATCAGTGAGTTTTCAGCAGGCACTTTTCCAGACGTTCTGTATCCTTGTTGCTCTTGGAGAGCTTATGTCGAGGTGGTTTGGTGACTCAGCTTGTATCAGGTAAGCTGTCTTGTTTTTGTGCAAAGCGAATATGAGCTGAGGAGTTATCCAGGCATCGTACGCACAATTGTTGTCTTTCCCGTAAGCAGTTCTGAACAGTCTGCCCTAATTTGTGTTGAAAAGAAAAACATCTCTTGCTGACTGATTGCCACCCCCTCTTTCTTTCCCCGTAGTCTATTGAGAACCTGCCCACTGTTTTTGGAAGTAATCCCAAGGCCCATATTGCAGCGAAGACTGTGTTTCACTTGGCCCATCGCCACGGTGACATTCTGCGGGAGGGCTGGAAGAACATCATGGAGGCCATGCTACAGCTTTTCCGAGCAGAGCTGCTGCCCAAGGCCATGGTGGAGGTAATAACAGCAGGCCTGTGGGTAATTGAGGAGTAGGGGAGTGAGATGTTGGCTTTTTGTAGAACCAGTTCGAAAAGGAGCAGAGCTCTCTTGCTAAGGCCTGGCTTTGGTGAAGTGTGTTTGAGTTATATGCAGGCTCCAGCTTCTGCTGTAGGGCTTTGCATAGAACCAGGAGCAGAGCTCTCTTGCAAAGGCCTGGCTTTGAAGTGTGTGCAGAGCTAGAAAGGTGGAGTGTTTGAGTTACGTGCAGGCTCCAGCTTCTGCTGTAGGGCTTTGGTTTTTCCCCATTGTACCTTTTGTTGGATTTGAGAAACGCCAGCGTTCATTTTACTGAACAGATTTTGAATATTGTGCAGAAGAGGGACACACTTACAGGCATGAAGTATTAGAGCACAGCGTTGGCATTGCCAGATGGGGGTGACGCTTTACTGAAGGGGTGAGGGGGTGAAGAGCTGGGGTACACGCGGTTGGTTGGGTGTAGTGCTTCATCACTAAGTGAAACATTACAGGCTTGGGGGGGAAGGTTACAAAAAAGTAGACAATTGATCATAGACATTTTCTGTACTGTTTTCCAGGTTGAAGACTTTGTGGATCCTAATGGCAAAATCTATCTGCAACGTGAGGAGACACCATCTAACCGGTGAGTGGTGCAGACGCCCAGGCAGTCCTTTTTGTACCAAAGCTGGAGGATGATATGATTTCTTGTTTTCTCACTGATGCTGTTGTCTTCCAATTTGCAGTGGTGAGTCTACAGTGCTGAGTTTTGTTAGCTGGCTCACCCTCAGTGGGACAGAGCAATCTGGTATGAGAGGACCATCTACAGAGACGCAAGAGGCGAAGCGGATGGCTCTGGAATGCATAAAGGTAACACACAGGCTGTAAAAGAACCTGCTTTTGTTCATGGTGACAGCACTATGTGGACAACAGGCAACAGAAGCATAAATATGCATGCTTGTAGGCAATGGTGTGGGTTCCAGAGGACTGGGGAATTGTAAGAACCTACAGAGGAGCGTATCTACATTTGCATCTGCAAAGGGTCTTATGTGTTGTTAGGCATAAATGGAATAATGCATGAAAATAGGAACCATTTCTCACAGGAGGCTGGAACCTGCCCTTGGCATCACAGTCCTGTAATTGAAGACAAATAAATAAATTATCAAGTGAATCATCTTTTCCAAGACAGTGTTAAAGTGTATGGTGCCAACAAAAGATGAACCTGGGGTTTCAGCAGTGTGTGGACAGAGCAGTTATCTGTTAAAATCTGTCTAGCACAGATCGGGTCTTTAAAGGTAATTGGTGTTAAAGGAATGAAGTAGATGGTAGGAATTTTCATCCATGTAAAGCCACTATCTGTATCTTTCCTGGGAACAAGCTGTGTTTTTGGAGGATCTCTTTGTATGCCTTCGGATCCCCCAGATGCACAGTCCTCTTTTCTGTCGTTTGTATGCCTTCACCATCCCCCAGATGCACAGTCCTCTTTTCTGTCTTTTGCAGCTATGTGACCCTGAGAAGTTGATCACAGAAAGCAAATTCCTCCAACTTGAATCCCTCCAGGAGCTCATGAAGGTGAGAGAGATCAGGCAAGGGATTGGACTGGTGATGGAACAAGTATGCTGTGCATGATCATGGATGTGTGCTGTGTACTCACCTAGTTCCTGTGTCCCAGAGGAGGTCTTGGACCTACTTGAGATATGAAACCAGTCATTAGTTCAGCCACTACGTGTAATTTCTGTGCTGGCAGCCACAATTACTTTAGTAGTAGAGTAAGACATTAAATTGTGGAATGTATTCTAAAAGCCTTGAGGAGCTCATGATAAGCATTTGAAAATACATGTAGCTCTGCATAGAACCTTAAGGTTATGCTTTTTCATCTTTTCTGGTGTGCTTTGTGCCTAATGAGAACATTCTAAAAGGCCACTTTAGAGGCAAGAAGTGTATGGAAATCTTTGATTGCTGTGGGAGACTTAATAAGGCTGGACTCACTGTCCTAGAGAAGCTCATCTCCCCAGGGTAGGTAGTTACCTGCTTCTGGTAGTGGCTTCTCAGGCTCGTATGAGTTTGAGACCACTCCAGGGTGTGGAACGAATCTTCCTGCTGCTCACCATTTCCAAAAGCAAATTGTGCAACCCTTGCAGGGATGTGGTGTGGTGTGTTGCTTCATTCCATGGTTCCTTAAAGTGCAAGAACCTTTCCTTTCAGGCTGCTGCAATTGTAATTCACTGGCCTCATCAATAAGGCACATATTGAGGAAAGGTTTATTTATTAAGGCTTGCTGTAGAGGTTCAGAAGAATAGGTATTGAGTTTCAAAATAAAGCTGAGTAAGTAAACCCCAAAGAATAATACTTAAAACAGCTAAAGGAGAACTTGCTGTTTGGACCATGCAAAGACCACTATGTTGCTGGCCCACGTGGACAAGTGGTGACACAGTTTTTTTGTGCCATCTCAGTTCTGGGGGAACATTTTGCTCTTACCCCTGTGTCAGGAATTCTCCCTCCATATGCAAGCTGATGACTTGAGAGGAATAGTTCCAGTACTTGTAGTCATTCCCAATTATATCTGCCTTTTCTGTGCTTCACATTCCTCTTCGGCTGAGACACTGTGTCAGAATTGAACATCTTTTAAGTTCACGTTGCATCTTTATTAAAAAACCTAATTTTCCATATGTTTTAGCTTGACCTTTATCCAATGCATTTTGGATGGACTATGCATGACCTTACCAGACAGTGGAGTGCAATTTTGCCCAGACTCAGAGCATTCTGTTGGTCCTTACTTGTTGGTTCCTCAGTTTTGGGGGTTTGTGATTCACAAACGTTTCCTCGCTTTTCTAGGCTCTGATCTCTGTGACTCCTGATGAGGAGACGTACGATGAAGAGGATGCTGCCTTCTGCTTGGAGATGCTTCTGAGGATTGTGCTAGAGAATAGGTATGACCTTGAAATACACGCAGATTTCAGTGTAAATGTCCCTGCTTTACTGCAGCTGCTGCCTGGGTCCGGGGAATGGGTTCCTTATGTGCTTGATTTGCCAGCTGAAGCAGCATGTGGCTGTAATTTCGGGGCTTAGCAATTCCACTCTGGCATGTGCAAACAGAGGGGCGATTGGCCCATGAGTTATTGCTTGATATCCTGCAATTTGGAGAACATCAACTAAAGTCTGAAGGGAGAATTCTCCCACCTGATCGCTTCCCGAGTAATGAAGTAAATAGGAAAATTGATGGCTTTGTTGTTTCTCTGTGTCTGTTCTTATGTCTCCCGGCTGGAGTTTTTAATTGAAATGAAGAAATACTGGGTTCTCTAGAGTTCTGGGAGAAGTAGCTGGATGTCTCATATCCGTTCATCCTGCCCTTTCCTTCCTCCCTGTTGTGGCTAGGGACCGTGTGACCTGCGTCTGGCAAACTGTCCGAGACCACCTCTATCACCTCTGTGTCCATGCCATGGACTTCTGCTTCCTGGTGGAGAGGGCAGTGGTGGGGCTGCTGAGACTGGCAATTCGGCTCCTTCGTCGGGAAGAAATCAGTGCTCAGGTAAGGGTTTTTTGAAAGTCTGTTACTGGGGGTTTTGTGGCTTCACCTGTCAATGCAGAAAATCAATTGCTGTTGAATGAGCCCACATTTAACCTGTCTGTGCTGCAGGAAACAACAAGCAGCAGTTTTAAGTAGCTCTAAATAAATGGAGAATGGCATGTGGACCTGCTCTGGCAGGGGGTTGGACTAGATGATCTCCAGAGGTCCCTTCCAACCCCATATCATTCTGTGATTCTGCCTAAATTAATAGGGTCTGATATTCTTGTCTCCTTCTCTGGCCAGGTTCTCCTCTCATTACGTATCCTGCTCATGATGAAGCCAAACGTGCTCTCCAGAGTTAGCCATGAGGTTGCCTATGGCCTCCACGAACTCCTCAAGACCAATGCTGCCAACATTCACTCCGGGGATGACTGGTACACGCTCTTCACCCTCCTGGAGTGCATTGGGTCTGGGGTGAAGCCTCCTGCAGCCCTGCAGGTTACAGCAAGGGCAGATAATGACACAGGTAAGACAGGCCAGCTTTTGCTGGGAAATCTGATGCCTGCCTGCCAGATAAGCAGCTGCTTCCTCAAGCTTTTCAATTAGCAAAGGGGACTGCAAGAAAACAAAGCTGATATTAAACTACATTAGCAAGATTAAAGACCAGCACCTGCTGTTCGCTCCTACCCCATGCTCTGTCCCTGTCTCTGCTCTGCCATCTCTTCCTACTCAGCGAGCAGCAGTCCAGGTGCTAGTCCCTGGGGGAGCAGTGGGAGGAAAACTGATAGCAGTTGTAGCAGCTGTAGAAGGTCTTTGCTCTACCCAAGGAGCGTTTTCTGCTGGTTGTGGTCTGGTGCTTTGGGTAATGGACCCTTAATCTCTCATCTGGGTGTGTAATGTAAACTCAGCTGTTGTTCCTGTCATACTTGCTTCCTTTGTGGGACTGATTCCTTTCTGTCCCCGTTTTTAAGGATCCCATAAAGGGAGTTGTTCTTAAAAAATCTGTTTCCAAATCCGTTTGTGTTCAGGGTGCCTGAACCATTCCCACAAGACCAACCCACTATTTCCCTCTTCTCTTGACTGTGTTAGAAAGACAGTCTTTTCAGCAGACTGTTCCTGTTTGGCTTTAGCCAGCTGGCAGCGTGTTTGAGGCTGACAGCTTCAGACTTTTAAAGCAAACAGTAAGAAAAGACTTCTCCAGAAGCCTTTGTTTTCCCCTCTGCTTTTCTAGAACTTCCTTGCTAGGTTCTGATGCTTTGGGTTAGACAGATGGGAGAAACCTGATTTTGCAAAACCCCTATGTGTGACCTTTGTCTTCTGGGCTAATGCTGGGCTGTCTTCTCCCATCATATATTTTTTTAAAACTGCTTCTGTCTTTGCTAATTGAGCAAACTACTTGACTGTGACATTAGTTCTTTTTACCTCCTCCTGGAAATGTTTGGTGCAAGTCTGCCTCTCTGCTGGTGAGTTTCTAGATAACGTTGAATGATGGAGAGAATGAATTTTGGCTTCTAATTGACATTATATCAGTAGCTTAAATTTGGCTCTTGCTAAGATTTCTGTGCTTGGGACATGGGAAATTCAAGGTTATGCTAAAGGTCAGGGAAAGTCTAGTGGGAGGTGTCCTTGCCCATGGCAGGGGGGGTGGAACTCAATGATCTTTAAGGTCCCTTCCAACTGTGACCATTCTGTGATTCTGTGAAGGTAGATCTGACATGTGTGGAACATGCTAATGTAGGTTGCTGTTCATTAGAGAGACTTCACCAGTGTTAGTGTGGAGCTGAGTGACCCCTGAGGCCCTCATGAGTCATTTCTTATTGTCCCTTTGGAGTTGCCTTGGCTGAACCTAGCACCTCCAGTTGTTCTTGTGATAGTGTGTGTGATAGATCTGATTCTTACCCCAGAGTCAAAGCATTAAAGTTCCTGCCCTTTTAAATCCACGGTCAAGCTGGCAAGTGACATGGCAGAGGATGGAAAGCCCCTTCCCTCTGAAAGGAAAAGCCAAACATACCCACAAGGGGAGAAACAGTGTCAGAAATCTGTGTTTCCTGCTGTCTCCTGCCCATGCTCCTGTCATAGTTGTTCTTCCTTGCACAGAAGAGGAGGCCTGGACCAGTTTCTTCCAGGGCCCACTGGTGGTTCCTAGCTGATGCTGATCTGACTAATCTGCATGGCTGTGGACAAGGAAGAAGCAATTTCTTCTGAGTTCTTGATGTGGCTTTTGTCTAAAACCCATGCCTTTTGTCTTGAAGGTGCTCAGTCAGACAGCGAGGTCTCCTCCTCCTACCACCCAAGCGACACGAGCCTGGACCGTGGCTACACCTCAGACTCAGAGGTGTACACAGACCACGGGAAGCCAGGCAAGATGCATCGCTCGGTGACAGACGTGGATGTTGTGAACAGTGGCTGGCTAGTGGTGAGTAGCCAATTTCACTGAATTTCACTGAATTTTTTAGAGTTGGAAGGGACCATAGAGATCATAGAATCGAATCATAGAATCATAGAATTGCCCAGGCCGGAAGGGACCTCCAAAGGCCATCTAGTCCAACCTCCCCACAGTCAGCAGGGACACCCCCAACTAGACCAGGTTGCCCAGGGCCTCGTCGAGCCTCTCCTTGAATATCTCCAGGGATGGGGCCTCAACCACCTCCCTGGGCAACCTGTTCCAGTGCTCCACCACCCTCACAGTGAAGAACCCTCTCCTAATCTCCAATCTAAATCTGTTCCCCTCCAGCTTGAAGCCATTGCCCCTCGTCCTGTCACTACAGGCCTTTCTAAACAGGCTCTCCCCAGCCTTCCTGTAGGCTCCCTTCAGGTACTGGAAGGCTGCTATTAGGTCTCCCTGGAGCCTCCTCTTCTCCAGGCTGAACAACCCCAGCTCCCTCAGCCTGTCCTCGTAGCAGAGGTGCTCCATCCCCCTGATCATCCTTGTGGCCCTCCTCTGGACCCTCTCCATCAGGTCTATATCCTTCTTATATTGAGATCATCTAGTCCAATTCCCCTGATGAAGCAGGACTCCCCTGCTTCAGGGTTGCTGGTGCCTGAAGAAGACCACTCCTAGCATGGTTGTGGGTGGAGGGTGTGTTAGGGAGAGAAAGAAGACGACAGTAGCAAAGAGAGCTAAGAGGACCTGACAGTATAAAGGGAGGATGGAGAAGAGATGGAGAGGAGAAAGCTTGGAGGCAAATGAGGAAGAAATGGAAATGGATCTTGCAGAAACATCACGTTAGCTTCAGAAGAAAGGCCCTTTCAGTGTGTGCATGAGGTGCTGCCTGTCATGCTGCCCTCTCCTGCTACCCTCTTGCTGTGCCCTGCAGGTGGGGAAAGATGACATCGACACCTCCAGATCCACGGCTGGGCTCAGCAGGCTGGGGCCATCTCCTCTGGTCAACCAGTACAGCCTGACTGTGGGGCTGGATCTGGGGCCACACGACACAAAGTCTCTCATGAAGTGCGTAGAGTCCCTGTCCTTCATCGTGCGAGATGCTGCCCACGTTACACCTGAGAACTTTGAGCTCTGTGTCAAAACCATCCGCATCTTCGTGGAGGCGAGCTTGAATGGGGGTAAGGTGGCCCTTGGTTTGACTATCAGGATGGGGCTTGGGGTGGTTGCTCAGTAGGAAGCATGAAGTATATTGTCAGGGAACGAGTCCCCAACCCCTAGGAGATGTATCTGCTGTGAGAAGAGTGTCCTGGCTCCTGCTGGAAGCAAGGACCTTATTCTTATTCTTCTCTCTGGGATGGAGGGGAGGTCTGGGTCTGATTTGGAGGCAGCAGTATCTACCTGAAGTATCTTGCTGAAGGCTGTTCCTGAGGGGTGCTCTTCAAGTGGGTACTTGTTCGTTCTCCACTGGGCATATCAAAAGGTGGCAGAAAATGTTGTGGTGCAGTGTGTATGTATGTGGGTGTGTTGCTGCCTTTCTAGGTTACAAGTCCCAGGAGAAGAGGGGGAAGAGCCACAGGTATGACAGCAAATCCAGCCGGTTAAAAAAAAAGCCAAAGGAGAGCTCCGCGCGGCGATCGCGGGCCTTGAGCCAGCACCAGGCACACACCCACAGCGACGAGGACGAGGATGAGAGCATCCCTGCCAGCTACCACACTGTGTCTTTACAGGTTAGTCAGGACGTAAGTATAGCAAGGATTTCCTCCTCTCCTTTCCCATACTTGGGGCCTTGCTAGGGAGTCACTGGGATTCTTTGTGGGGGCGAAGAGGGGGGTGCTGCATCCTGGGTTAGCAGGTACTGGGTGGCAGAGGGTGGCTTTGGTGGCAGTGAAAGAGGAAGACTGCAATTTGAATTCAGGACAAGAGGAAATGGGCACAAATTTGAGTATAAGAAGTTCCACCTAAACATGAGGAGGAACTTCTTTACTGTGAGAGTGGTAGAGCACTGGAACAGGCTGCCCAGAGAGGTGGTGGAGTCTCCTTCCCTGGAGACATTCAAAAACTGCCTGGACACGTTCCTGTGCAACCTGCTCTAGGTAGACCCACTTTGGTGGAGGGGTTGGACCCTTCCAACCCTTTATGATTCTATGAATCAGCAAAAGCAGAATAGCAGAGGAGAGACAAGTCCTCTGACAAGCAAGGATGGTGGGGTCTGGAGCTGTGAGCCACTGTAGTAGGTCAGATGGATGGGGATCAAGGGCATTTGGAGACATGAGGTTCATGTAGGATTAGTGGGGAGTCTGACAGCATCTGAGCTTCTGGAGAGGGGGAAGCCCTGTGGCCTGAGGCACTGGGGTTACAAGTATGGAGGACTGGGATGAGGGAGCCATTTCTGCCTCCAGCTGGTACTTCAGAGGTGTGAAGGCACCGGTCTGCTGGCTGCCAGACTGTTGGGCCTCAGTTCAGTAGTAAAGTGAGTAGAAAGCTGTTGTTTGCCCTTACAGAGCTGTTCTGGGGGAGTTTTGCTTGTGTTTACTGCATTATTTTTTTTTATTTAAAAAGAAAAAAAAAAGTCTGCTGGCTGCCAAGCTGTCAGGCCTCAGTTTGGCAGTAAAGTGAGTAGAAAGCTGTCGTTTGCCCTTACAGAGCTGTTCTGGGGGAGTTTTGCTTGTGTTTACTGCATTATTTTTTTTTATTTAAAAAGAAAAAAAAAAAGTTGCAGAGAGTTGTGCCTGGACAGCATAGATGAATCGCTGAGGTTCTCCCTCTGCCTGTACCAGGAAAGGCTCTGTTCTTTCTCCGGGCAGGATTGGGATGCTGTTCCTCGAAGGTGGGATTGATGTGGCTGCTGAAGTGACATAAGCAGAGAGTTGTGCCTGGACAGCATAGATGAATCGCTGAGGTTCTCCCTCTGCCTGTGCCAGGAAAGGCTCCGTTCTTTCTCCAGGCAGGATTGGGATGCTGTTCCTCGAAGATGGGATTGATGTGGCTGCTGAAGTGACATAAATCTTGCTGAAGATGCCACTTAGGGGAGGGCACAAACAGGGCCTGACACCATCTCCGTAGCTATAGGTGGTTATGTACATCCAGGAACCAGGCTTTTGAGTAGCTGCCAGCCTTTTAGCATTGCTTTGGGGAAGAGAAAAGACCAGGGTTGCTTCAAAAAATTTTTAAGTCCCGTGTGTTGCTTCATGTGATGCTTGATTTGCAGCTCCTGGACCTCATGCACACCTTGCACACGCGGGCGGCCACCATCTACAGCTCCTGGGCAGAGGAGCAGCGCCATCTAGAGACGGGAGGGAGGAAGATCCAAGCGGATTCCCGGACGCTGTGGGCCAACTGCTGGTGCCCTCTGCTACAGGGTAAAGCCGTCCCCTTGCCATGAGACTTGAGCAGAGACACCTCCAAAATAACGGCAGCGTTCACGAAAGTTGGGGAGCCAAGAATTAAGTGCGGAAAGTTGTCTCAAGTTGCGCCAGGGGAGGTTTAGATTGGAGATTAGGATAAATTTCTTCACGGAAAGGGTTACCCAGCATTGGAATGGGCTGCCCAGGGAAGTGGTTGAGGCACCATCCCTGGAGGTGTTCAAAAGACAGGTTGACATGATCCTCAGGAATATGGTTTAGTGGTTTGGTTTTTTCTTATTTATTTTTTTGTCAGAGTTAGGTTGATGGTTGGACTAGGTGACCTTTAAGGTCCCTTCCAACCTAGATGATTCTATGATTCTAAAGCAGGTGGAGGTTGTTTTTAGGGTCTGTGTAGATCAGACCCCAAAAGGTGTCTTTAAACATGAGTTATCTGCCAGCTTCCTTCTGGACCTGACAGTAGATTCCCAGTCTGTGGTCTGGAACAAGTATAATCCTTTTCAGTTTTTTTTCTACTTTTTCCCCAGAGAATGTTTGACGTTTGTTAGACTTTGCCTCCTAGACTGGGGGAGCAGAGATGTGACACTTTCCCTGTGGGCTTTGCCCTGAATCCCTCTCTTGCAGGTATTGCCTGGCTGTGCTGTGATGCCCGACGCCAGGTACGGATGCAGGCACTCACTTACCTGCAGCGGGCCCTCCTGGTACATGACCTGCAGGCCCTGGATGCCCTGGAATGGGAGTCCTGCTTCAACAAGGTAACCTCCTGGCTGGGCTGGGCACGTAGGCAGGACAGCATTGTCACCAAGAGCAAAGCTGTGTGAAGGAGTGGCAGAATGATGTCCTCCTTCACAACCGTCTTCTTGAGCAGCTTGTTCAAGGCGTTCCCTGCTCTGATCCTGTGAAAAGTTCCTCTCTGCTTAGGCTTCTGACAGAGCCTCTTGGGTTATTGAAATTAATCCACTCCTTTCCACTTCCCATTGCTTCTCCCATGCTCTCTGCCCAGAAGCCACCAGCTGCAAAAGCCATTTCCTTCCTGTAAGTCTTTCTATGCAAATCTCATCAGTCGTTTGTCAGCTCTGACGTACCAATATGTCTGATCCATCAGGTGCTGTTCCCTCTGCTAACCAAGCTACTGGAGAACATCAGCCCAGCTGATGTTGGTGGGATGGAAGAAACTAGGATGAGAGCCTCAACACTACTCTCCAAGGTGAGCTCCTGCTGTCTGAAAGCTCAGGGGAAACCATGTTCTTCAAGAAAACCAAAATGGTTGCTGTATCACCTTCTCAGCATCTCTGATCTGGATGGGTGGAGAGAAAAGTATTTCACCTGATAGTAGTTGAAGACAGTCTGTTCTAGTGGTGCAATGATGGATGTTGTAAACTGATAGCACTGACCTAAAGCAGAGAATCTTGAAGGGCTGAAAGACCTTCATTTGGTGATGGCTTCATGCAAAGGAGATGAGATTCACTCCTCTACATAGGCAGCTCAGAAGAGTGGAGGCCTCTTGTGTCCTCCGGCTGGGGCTGTGCATGCTCCTGGTCTGCCACAAGGAGGGGGAATGCCAGATTTGCAGGATGGCTTGTCAAGCTGCGAGCAGCAGCCCTGACACCACTTGTTGACAGCAGTTCTGGGTTTTTTTGTTCTAGGTGTTCCTACAGCATCTCTCCCCGCTGCTCTCACTGACCACCTTTGCTGCCCTGTGGCTGACAATCCTGGACTTCATGGACAAATACATGCATGCTGGTTCCAGTGACTTACTGGTAAGGTGCCCAAAGTGATGCTGCTGCTGTGCTTCAACCAACCACTCATCGGTTTTAACCTTCTACATTAGAAAGGTGGTTTGGTTTGGGTTTGTTTGAGTTTTTTTAACCCTTTTAATTCTTCCCAAACCATTTTGTTCCATGGCCTCTCCCTTTGGCCTCTGTTTCCACGCCAGCTTTTGAGCTTTTGTTCGTTGCTCTATGTCCTTTCTCCGTGTCCTGAGGAGTGTCTCTGATTACAGCTGGAGGCCATCCCCGAGTCTCTGAAGAATATGCTGCTGGTAATGGATACAGCTGGGATATTCCACAGCGCTGACTCACGGACGGGATACTCGGATCTCTGGGAAATCACCTGGGAAAGGATTGACTGCTTCTTACCTAGGCTGAGGGATGAGCTCTTCAAACAGACAGTCATCCAAGGTAGGAGGGGCTGAGGAACCTGAGGAAAACAGGTCTGGGACCCAGTGCTTGCACCTTGTCAAGTTCCCAGGTGCCATCGTGCTCGGATGTTGATGGAACGATAGTTGCAGGAGGCTGTGGGAGTGAGGAGTGAGCAAACTGGTGTGTGGGCTCACTGCTCCTTTTGTTTTCCCAGATCCCGTCCCCAGCATCCCAACGGAGCAGCAGCACCAGAAATCAATAGTGTCTGCCCTGCCCCCTTCTCCTGTGGGGGATGTGAGACCACCCACCCACCTGGCTCCTTTGGAGAAGCCCTGCGAACTGGGTGCCAATGGTGAGTCCTTTTTTCTTCTTTCTGGAATCATCTTCCCAGCATGGTGGCGTGGATCTGCTTTTTCCTTGGCTTAGCATGGTCTAAGCCAGGGTTTACTCTGGTTTACCATTGTGCTTCCAGATGGAGAGGTTGTGGCCTTCTCCCTGAGGTTATTGGGGTGGGCAGAAGTTGGGGCAGAACGGCTGTGATGGGCACCTCCTCCTCAGGGCCTCATATATCATAGAATCATAGAATTCCTGGGTTGGAAGGGACCTTTCAGATCATTGGGTCCAACCATCAACCCAACACTGACAAAAACCATCACTAACCCATGTCTCTAAGCACTATGGCTGCCTGGCTTTGAAATCCCTCCAGGGATGGTGACTCCACCACTGCACATTGGAACGGGCTGCCCAGGGCAATAACCCTTTTGGTGAAGAAATTGTTCCTAATCTCCAATCTGAACCTCCCCTGGTGCAACTTGAGGCCGTTTCCTCTTGTCCCATGGCCTGTTTCTTGGGAGAAGAGACCGACCCCCCCTGGCTACACCCTCCTTTCAGGGAGTTGGAGAGAGCGAGGAGGTCTCCCCTCAGCCTCCTTTTCTCCGGGTTGAAATTCAAATGGAAGGGGCAAACCTGAATCTTCGTCAGGGCCTGTGTCAGGATATATTTTGTCTCTTCCTTTTTTCCAGAGCCTGAGCGAGTGGCTGCACCTGCCTCACCCACCATCAGCACCTCCACCTCTCCTCCTTTCCCAGCATCAGCTCCACCCAAGACCAGCCCCGTGACGGACATACCTCCTACCACAGCTCAGCCGCCGCTCATCCTGCAGCCTCTGGCCTCACCCCTGCAGGTTGGGGTGCCACCCATGACTCTGCCAATCATTCTCAACCCGGCCCTCATTGAAGCCACCTCTCCCGTGCCCCTCTTAGCTACTCCACGGCCCACTGACCCCATGACAACCTCCGAAGTCAATTAGTTGGAGGGTGTCTGGAGAACCGTCTGCTGAAGGAAGCTCTGTGGGTGGAGGAAGCTGGTAGTGGGCATGTTTGTTTTAGAAGATGATGCCAACCTGAGCAGAAGGGCTGCTGCTGCAGTATCCCCTGGAGCACATCATCACGTTCTGCTCCCTTCTTGTGGCAACCACCTAGAAATCCCTGTCTTCTCGGAGGGGTCCCCAGTTCCACTGACCACTCTCCTTCCTGCCTTTCACAATCTCAGGGGCCCAGCAGCCTGGGACCAAGCTGCCACCAGTTCATCTGGTGAAGAGGGGGGAAAAAAAAAAAAACTGGTAAGGTGCCTAAAATGATGCCTCTGCTGTGCTTCAAACAACCACTCATCGGTTTTAACCTTCTACATTAGAAAGGTGGTTTGGTTTGGGTTTGGTTGAGGTTTTTTAACCCTTTTAATTCTTCCCAAACCATTTTGTTCCATGGCCTCTCCCTTTGGCCTCTGTTTCCACGGCAGCCTTTGAGCTTTTGTTCGTTGCTCTATGTCCTTTCTCCGTGTCCTGAGGAGTGTCTCTGATTACAGCTGGAGGCCATCCCCGAGTCTCTGAAGAATATGCTGCTGGTAATGGATACAGCTGGGATATTCCACAGCGCTGACTCACGGACGGGATACTCGGATCTCTGGGAAATCACCTGGGAAAGGATTGACTGTTTCTTACCTAGGCTGAGGGATGAGCTCTTCAAACAGACCGTCATCCAAGGTAGGAGGGGCTGAGGAACCTGAGGAAAACAGGTCTGGGACCCGGTGCTTGCACCTTGTCAAGTTCCCAAGTGCCGTCGTGCTCGGATGTTGATGGAATGATAGTTGCAGGAGGCTGTGGGAGTGAGGAGTGAGCCAACTGGTGTGTGGGCTCACTGCTCCTTTTGTTTTCCCAGATCCCGTCCCCAGCATCCCAACGGAGCAGCAGCACCAGAAATCAATAGTGTCTGCCCTGCCCCCTTCTCCTGTGGGGGATGTGAGACCACCCACCCACCTGGCTCCTTTGGAGAAGCCCTGCGAACTGGGTGCCAATGGTGAGTCCTTTTTTCTTCTTTCTGGAATCATCTTCCCAGCATGGTGGCATGGATCTGCTTTTTCCTTGGCTTAGCATGGTCTAAGCCAGGGTTTACTCTGGTTTACCATTGTGCTTCCAGATGGAGAGGTTGTGGCCTTCTCCCTGAGGTTATTGGGGTGGGCAGAAGTTGGGGCAGAACGGCTGTGATGGGCACCTCCTCCTCAGGGCCTCATATATCATAGAATCATAGAATTCCTGGGTTGGAAGGGACCTTTCAGATCATTGGGTCCAACCATCAACCCAACACTGACAAAACCCATCACTAACCCATGTCTCTAAGCACTATGGCTGCCTGGCTTTGAAATCCCTCCAGGGATGGTGACTCCACCACTGCACATTGGAACGGGCTGCCCAGGGCAATAACCCTTTTGGTGAAGAAATTGTTCCTAATCTCCAATCTGAACCTCCCCTGGTGCAACTTGAGGCCGTTTCCTCTTGTCCCATGGCCTGGTTCTTGGGAGAAGAGACCGACCCCCCCTGGCTACACCCTCCTTTCAGGGAGTTGGAGAGAGCGAGGAGGTCTCCCCTCAGCCTCCTTTTCTCCGGGTTGAAATTCAAATGGAAGGGGCAAACCTGAATCTTCGTCAGGGCCTGTGTCAGGATATATTTTGTCTCTTCCTTTTTTCCAGAGCCTGAGCGAGTGGCTGCACCTGCCTCACCCACCATCAGCACCTCCACCTCTCCTCCTTTCCCAGCATCAGCTCCACCCAAGACCAGCCCCGTGACGGACATACCTCCTACCACAGCTCAGCCGCCGCTCATCCTGCAGCCTCTGGCCTCACCCCTGCAGGTTGGGGTGCCACCCATGACTCTGCCAATCATTCTCAACCCGGCCCTCATTGAAGCCACCTCTCCCGTGCCCCTCTTAGCTACTCCACGGCCCACTGACCCCATGACAACCTCCGAAGTCAATTAGTTGGAGGGTGTCTGGAGAACCGTCTGCTGAAGGAAGCTCTGTGGGTGGAGGAAGCTGGTAGTGGGCATGTTTGTTTTAGAAGATGATGCCAACCTGAGCAGAAGGGCTGCTGCTGCAGTATCCCCTGGAGCACATCATCACGTTCTGCTCCCTTCTTGTGGCAACCACCTAGAAATCCCTGTCTTCTCGGAGGGGTCCCCAGTTCCACTGACCACTCTCCTTCCTGCCTTTCACAATCTCAGGGGCCCAGCAGCCTGGGACCAAGCTGCCACCAGTTCATCTGGTGAAGAAGGGGGGGAAAAAAAAACCCCACCCTTTGATCTCACACCAGAGAGGGGCTGCAGTCCAGGACTGTCTCCCAGATTATTCAGTCTACTCCCTGGACAATTCTCCAGCCATTCCCTAGCTTTTCCTGCCCGTGCTTCTGGTCGCACTGCTTGCTTTGGGCTCTGGGCATGCCTGGGTTCAGCAGGTTGAGAATTTTTCGTGGATTGCTTACAGCACAGCTCCCAGCTTGCTACATAGGGCTTCTTGTCTGCTGTAGCCACGTGTTTTCCTTCCACAAGGTGGATCAGAGCAATCCCCAGGCCAGGCAGGGAGAGGGCAGCAGGGGAGTCTGGTAGGGGCAGCGCTGCTTCTCCCCCACCCTCCTCCTCCTGGAAGTCTAATCAGGCTTTCTGGCTGGAAAGGGCAAATTTAGAAGGCTCTGCCTCGTTGAACAGGCAAGAAGGATGTGGGGAGCCCCGTGAGCTGAGAGCAGAACACCGTGGCCACCTCTCAAACAGCTCCTGGGGAGCCACTCTTCTGGGGTACACAGCAGCACCGTGTTGTCCACCATGCACTACATTGGCCTCTTGGTGTCCAGCCCTGTTCCTTAGGAGAAGATCCTCTTCTGTTGGGGATCTGTGGCACGAGTCTGCTGCGCTTTCTCCTGGAAGCTCTGCAGAGACTGCGCCCTTCTTGCATCTTCTAGTTGTTGGGAGCCCACCTCCTCCTCCACCTAGAAGAGCTGAGGTCACTCCTGTGCTTCTGCCTGGCCCCAAGGATGTCCCGCTCTTCCATCCCCTGGTGCCCAGAGCAGAGCTGGCTGCCTGGCAGGTCCTGCATCTCCGTTCTTCCTCCTCTCTCCATTAGTTGGCTTAAATTCTCAATAATACCAATTTTGGAAACCCCACTGGTGACTGGGAAGGGGGTGTGTGGACGTGACTCCAACCCAGTGTATACTGTCCCGAGAGGAACCTGTGGTTGGGGTGGGAGCACAGCCTGTGTACATAGAGAGTAAATGGCTACAAATCCAACGGACTTTTTACAGTGTAATAAATACATCCTGTAAATGAAAATGCTCCGGTGTGACGCTCCTTTTCTGTCACAGCTCTCAGAGCTTGGGGAAGAGAGGAGTTTAGTTGTCAGGGTGCTGTGTTTGGCTGCCAGCCCCCTGGTTCCTTACACCAGGATCCCCCAGAGGAGCACTCTTGGCTTTGGGGAGCACGGAGGGACTTGCCCCTAACCCGTGGAGGGTGGCCATTGAGGGGCTAAGCAGGAATGGCTTCCATCATGGGTGAAGCAGAGCTGTAACAGGGGGATTGCTCTTGCTTCTGGCAAGAAGTGTGAGCTGTGGAATTCCTGGTGGTGAGTTGGTGTGTGCTCCTGCACTGCCAGGAGCGAGGGCTGAGGAGAGGGTGGCCCTGCGACGTCTCAGCACGTGGCCAAACACAGACCCTGGTGACAACCTTGGGAGAAAGGAGCACTTTCTGTCGGCTGGGGAAGAAATCCTGCTTTCCACTGACAGGACGGGGGCTTGGAGAAGGTGAGAGAGATCCTGGCCTCTTCCAGGGCTGGACACACTCCGTGCCACAGTGTCCGTGGGGCCGTGTGGGGCACGGTGCCTGCCCTGTCGCAGGGATTCCGAGAGACTCCTCCAGACTCGATAAGGGGTTGAGATAACAGGGTCTGTTTGGGTTGCACCAGCAGAGAATTTAAATATTGTGTAAGAGAGGAGTAAATCTAGGAAAGTCCCGTTAATAAATCTTGGTTCCCTTACCCCATTTCCACCATTCCTGGAATATTTTCATTGCAGCCCTCTCTTCCTCACCCTCCACTCCTTCCAGATCGTGTCCCTCCAGCCCTTGGATCTTTTCATTCATGTGTTTGGATCCTTCTGCTGCCCGTGGCCTGTCTGTACCCAGCCAGTCCCTCTGTCTTGTATTTCTGAGCCTTCCCTTCTATTTACAGCTCTGTTTTTCTGAGCTTGTCTCCAAAACCCTCCCTGAAACCTTTAGATGATTAACTCTTTGTAAACCATTGCTCAATGGCCGAGTGCCTTATGTCAGCACTTCTGCCCTCTGAGCCTTGGACTTCTTGGAGTGATGTCAGGAAATGGCAAAGCCCAGATTTTCTCCACTGCCTTCAGATGGTGGGGTTTTTTTTGGGGGGGTAGGGGGGAGATGCAAACCCAGTTTCTGCTGAGAGCGTTACATCTTAATTCAGACAATTGCGGTGCAAAGCAAAAGCCACCCGAGGAAACTGCAGGAAGCGGGACTGGAATGGAAAGAATGTTGACTGGAAAGACAGACGGAATCGCACTTTAAACAGTTTTCACCAGACTGTAAATAGGAACGGACTGGAAAACCAGAAAAAAAAAATTCTTTTGAACGTTGTTTGGATTCTGCAGTGATGAGTTTTCATGTGGTACGGAGAGAAAAATAGCAGGGAAAGTGAACCCAAAAGAGATGAGAATCAACTGATGGGTACCATGTGCTGTGATATGTGTTTTTATTGATAAGTCTCTTGAACTCGTAACTTAAATTAGATAAAAGACAGTCACCTTGCCAACATCTGCTGGGGAGGAGCGGTGTCCACCACACTGGCTTTCAGGTTTGTCCCAGCCATATACTTTTTTTTTTCTCTGGTCCTGGACTTCTTTCTCATTTTTACAGGTCTGACTCCCTGTTTTCCAGAGGAGGCTGGACAGACGTCACCGTGGTTTGGTTTTATGGAGCTTTTCTGTTCCCAGTTACATCAAGAACTTCCACTGCTGAAAGAGAGCAGAGATAGGTATTGGGATTTAGGGGAGGGGGGGGGTTACTGTGCTTTTTTTATTGCTGAGAAGCTTCCCAGTGGGAGAAAGCCCTGTGGAAGGACAACCCCTGGCTGTAAAACGTCAAATTTGTGAAACTGAAACAATGCTGCTTTTAGACCCAAAAAGATTTCCCCGAATTATCTTCCAGCAGCAAGCTGCCTTTTTTAGAAGTTACCCTCATTCCTAGGAATGCCAGCTCTCCCACTCCTTTGGAAAAACCCCTGCCTGGATCCCCTACCCCCTTTTTGTTGCCCCAGCTGCAGGGATGGCAGCCCGGGAGGGGGTCTGTACCCCTCGGCCCGTGGTCCTGGAGCAATGTGAGCCCCACCAGGGCTGTTGGAGGTGGCCACAGCTGTGATGCTGGCTCCTTGCCCGCCGGCATCCTTCCCACCCCCCCTGTGTCCCCGAGGGGGCCGCCGGGAGAGGGGAGGGGAGGGCCAGTTCCTCTTGGCCACCGGTGGCCAGAAAGGCCAGGGGGGGACAGCTTTGGGAGCACAAAAAAAAAGTTCTGGAGCTGCAGCTCCTGGAGTTGAAAGGTTGGAGAACTGATTTGCTGAAGATGCAGGAGAGCCCCTGGGGCTGTGAGGAAGGTGTTCAGAGGGGGATTGGAGATGTAGGAAGGTGAGATCCCCCTCTTGTCCCCCCCCTCCCAGACTACATGTGCCCCTCCCGTTGTATAACCCCGTGGTGGTGGGTGGCTGGAGGTCTTCTCCCACATGGACCAGGGCAGCTCCTCGCTGCAGGAGGCAGCAGGAAGGTGTGGGCTCCACCAGCACCAGCCCTTCCAGGACCCAAGGGTTGCACCCACCCTTTGGCTGTGTTTTGGGACTTGCTGTGGGGTGGGAAGAAGGGGGGTTATTGCCCAGTTACCGACAGGAAAACCTCCCAGTGGCTCTGCCAGGGGAAGTGATGCTTCCCCTTCTCTTTTGAAGTTTTCCATGTGACAAAAACAGGAGGTTTCTCCGGGCAGCAGGGCTGGGGGGAGAGCTCTTTGGGAAAGGAGAGGTGGGGTGCTCTTTTGAAGTTTTCCATATGAAAATTGGAGGTTTCTCCAGGCAGCAGGGCTGGGGGGCGGCTGCTGAACTTCATCCCGAGGGGAAAAGGAGAGGTGGGGACGGGTGGTGGCTCCACCCGTGCCACCAGCCCTTTGGTGGGACCCCAACACCAGTCAATGGAGGGGCTCGGCCTGAGCCTTGTCCTCCCTGACCCTCAGCCTCTTCCTGCGAGGAAGAAGAGGGGATGGAGGAAGGTTTTCTGTTACCTGGTGCCTCACCCTCCACTCAGACACACTCGCTGGGGGACCTCATGGCTACGGGGGGGCTGTTGGTGGGGGGGGGAAGCCCCACACCCAGCTGTTGCTGTCCCATCCCCTGGGCAGAGGCAGCTCCAAGGAAGGGGGTGTTTGCAGCTGCCGTGTGTCCTGTGTCCCCCCATCTCCGCCAAGCAGGACCCTTGTCCCCCCGCCCCGCACCCCCTCCGTGTCCCCGCAGAGGACACGGCACCACCGACGGCTCTCG